GCACTACCATATCACCAGCGCCCCTATGGAAAACTGCAGCCTTTGGAAGTTCCACTGTGGAAGTGGGAGAAAATCATGATGGATTTCATTACAAAATTGCCTAAGACTTCAAGGGTATTTGATGTTATCTGGGTGATAGTTTATCGTTTGACGAAGAGTGCTCACTTCTTATCCATAAGTAAGGGCTATTATACAAAGAAGCTAGCTGAGATTTATGTTTGGGAGGTGGTGGCTCGACATGGGGTGTCGACTTCTAATGTGTCAGATCGGGATGTTTATTTTTACTTCCAGGTTTTGGAAGATGTTTCACGAAGAATTGGGCACCCGGTTACATTTCAGTACCACCTATCTGTTGGGTTTTAAGCACTATAACACTCCTATGGTGCACATGCAACCCTAAATGCTTTGGATCCATGTTTTCTCTAATTATACATGCATTTTCAATTTTCCAAAGCGTTCTCCCTAGCTAGCATACAATTGAAGCTATATAATATAAAACTTAGTTTGGATGCTTACCTCTTGAGTAGGGTAGAGTTCTTAACCTTTGAAAGCTTGAGCACCTCAAGTGTGATACCTCTATTAGTTCACAAACACCAAAATGCAAGAGGAGGCTTTTAGAGAATAAGTTACTTGACTCCAAAGAGTGTGTAGCCGATTTTGGCTTATGGGGACACTATTTATTATGTGGAAAACACTAGGGTTACACTTTGTAAACCCTAATGCTCCATGACTGTTCACATTCTTATGCTCCATGGGTTAACCTCCATGGATTATCTTATTGGTTTAGCCCAACCATTTAGTCATGGATCATTAGTCCACATTACAAGAATGATTGATTTACATAATCAATCCCCATATATTTAATTAGTCTCTTTTGATCACAAAATTAATTCCAAATTAATTCTTGATCAATACTAATTAAATAATATTAATATATTATACTTGTAATATATTAATAAATCAAAAATAACCTTATTCTCAAAAATCCTTCCTATCAACTTGCACTTGAAACATCCCAAAAATCAAGACCAAAAATTTCATTTTCAAACTATTAAATTAAACCATAGTCATAAAATCATTCATCCAAAATCATAAGTCATTATCTTAAATCAAGTATCATTTCCAAAACACTAGTTCATTTTATTAGAGTAAACTTCCCAGGCTAAACTTCTTGGTGTGTGCCATGCGATCATCCCGAGCTCTTCCCTCCGCTACCGGAAGTATCTGAAACCAAAAATGAAAACCGTAAGCACGAAGCTTAGTGAGTTCCCCAACCTACCACATACCATACACATAACCACATATTGCAAGTACTGGGCCTCGCCCTCTACCTCGGTCCCCGCCCAGCTTCGGATACATCCAACAACAGGCCCCACCTGGCTTTGAGCCCCGCTCGGTGTACAGATCTGTTTCTCTTAGGCCCCACCTGTCTCTGAGCCCCGCCCCTAAACATATACAAACATATAACATATCGCATAACACATAAGCTATAACTACTCTACTACATTCCTGTATTAAGGCCTCGCCTATCTTGGGCCTCGCCCCTGTCCTCCTACTGATGAGTCATGGAACCCCGTACACGCTCCTGCTGGTAGTGAGATACGAGCCTCTGCCCACACTCACCTCCCTACTAACTTGGGCCTCACCCCTACTCTGCTACTAATGAGATATGGAACCCCATCCATACTCGGCTAGTGATGAGATACGGGACCTCGCCCGACTCACCTCCCTACCAGGCATATACAAGTATCAAAAAGACAACAAGTATAACTACACATACATTACTGCCTCGGGTACCACCCGACATCGGACCGAAATCCGAAACATATAAACTGCATCGGGCTAACCCCGGTAACAAATCTAAATCCGAACATATCCCAATAAGTGCCTAGGGCTAACCCCCGGGTCTTCCTACTACACATAACCATAAGCATAAACATAATGGGCCGACATTGTGGCCGTAGACCCATGCACACAATGAGGAGACTCACCTCGCACTGCTGAAGACCTGTTGATACTCTTCTTGCTGCTAGCTGGCAATCCCCCGGACTGCTGATCCATCAATTCCCGAACTATCAATACCCCAAAGTAACACTTAGACCACAATATTCCAAAGGTTAATCCAGTTCAAACTTGGTCAAAGTCAACGGTTAAAGTCAACCTCCAATTGACTATGACTCGCCGAGTTGCTTTACCAACTTGTCGAGTCCATGCTTCTCCAACTCACTATAACCACCGATCCTACCCGTCGAGTCTAGCAAGAACTCGACGGGTCCTCCTTCAATCTTACAATCGGGACCATCTTCAACCGACTCGCCGAGTTCATCCTTGAACTCGTCGAGTTCATCTCCCTCTTATGAATGTCCAGACTATGACTCGCCGAGTTGTATGAACAACTCGTCGAGTCCATCTTCATAAGCTAAGAATATTGCCTTAGACTCGCCGAGTTCCTCGTTGAACTCGCCGAGTACGATGAACTTCATACCCGCTATGGACCCAGACTGGCTGAGTCCCATAGCAACTCAACACATGCCCTTTAACAGAAGGGTTTTGAGGTTTTCTTTCCTTTCAAGGATCTTCTGAATTCGGGGCGTTACAACTCTCCCCCACTTAAACTAGACTTCGTCCTCAAAGTCCGCTACAGCCAACAATCTTGCAATCTGCTCACAATATTTCTGCTTGGTGAATACCTCTCCTACTGAGCCCGATCCTCGAAGAATCACTTTCATTGACCTTCCGCCCGGTCATTCAGCCAAAACTAATCCTTGAGGGTAAGAACCTCGAGAAAACTCTGCTCACCAACAATCCTGAGATCACGACTCTTTCCCAACTGATAATCCTTTCGGTACTCCTCGAGTAGTTATGCTGGACATCCTAGGGGTTTACCCCTTCCTCCTGTGCGTTCACTGGCCTTCCCAAGGCACTTCCCAAAAACAACAGCCTTTACTTCCTCTGTGAAGGACATACCCTTCGCTGAACCTACCTTTCCAGCCACTCCCAGTGCTGATCACTTCACTGATACATACTGAGTGCTTTCTCTTTCTCTATACTGATGCTGAAAATCCCTCCCAGTGGATGGATAAGATAATATTTCGAGTAATAGACTCATCCCTGCAACGGTTAGACTCATACGAGAGCTGCGCAACAGAGTCAAATCACTCACTCTGAGGTTATTTAATCCTGTTGCGAGGGGCCTAGCACCTCTCGGTCAACCAACCACTTCCACTCCCGAATCCTCCTATCGCTGTCCCTGACTGAAGGTTCATCTGTCTCTTATCCGCTCTCCGGATGTACCGAGACCGCCTCGGTCCCAACTAATCTGCCATCACCTTGACTACCAGACTCCTACCAGTTATTGAACTCAAACTCCATCTCTCAGTCACTCTCAGCGACTTCCGAACGAAACTTCGGCTAACTAAAACTGCTCTGTCTACCTTGCCACTCTGGATCTCTAAATCCTGGGATCCTCGATCCCTTATCTTGAGTCTAATGTCTCTACCAGGTCCCACCTGCACCACTGAAATCTCACGGGCCTCGCCCACGGGTCTCACCCAAACTATATCTTAGAGCGGTCTCTCCCTCTAGTCTCACCTGTACTGCTACTAACATACATGCCTCGCCCATGGGTCTCACCCAACTGTATACTGGAGTGGCCTCTCCCTCAGGTCTCACCTATCTAGGGCTATACAGGCCTGTCTCCATACTGAATCTCAACGAACTATGTCTACCTGATCCTGATCATACTAACTAGGAGTTACGGGCCTCGCCCACACTCTGCTAACTAGGAGATACGGGCCCTCGCCCACACTCCTCTATCTGGCTACTAAAAAATGTTGCGGCTATCCCACAATCTTACCACACTCCCCATGCTTCCTCTACACTGACTACTAATCCGAAAGCATCCCATGCCGGACATTCACTCAATCTACATCTTGACTGACTCGAGTCCTGCTGGCGATCCTCCAACCTGGTTTTCTAAACCAGTTATCATCTAACGTGATTACTATGGTCCTCCCATAGCCTTACTACTCTTCCCGCACTGTCTTCCTACTGGTGAATGCTACGGCTATCCCGTAGTCTTACATCCAGGCTAAAATCACATCCTGCCGAGAAAAACTTCAACCTGGTTTCCCAAACCAATCATCTACTGATCGCTATTACACGAACTCAACAATGGGAAGTTTCCCAAACTCCTAACTTACGCGTTTCTCATTCCAAACAACCACTCGGACTATTATCCTACTCAACAAAGTTGCGAACTCATCCCAACTCCTCACTTACTTCTACTCCTGAATACTTGGAGGGTTCTCCCCCACTTTGATTCAACTAGCTCCTTACAACTTACTGCCTGGGAAGGATTCCCATTTCTTCTTACCACTCCATGATCGTTCTGCTAAAAACTGATGCTTACCGCTGCTAGTGCTCCAAAACTAACCAATACAGTGACGCTACCACCCCCTGAAAACTAGAGAAATACTTTTCGAGTCCCAAATAACACTTGCTACAATGACTGCATCCTGAGAATCTGCTCTAAAGGGAAACATCTTCGAACTACTACTCCAACATCCATGGTATGCAAATGACATATAACTCATTCATAGGCAGGAAATATAATATTCTGAAATACACTTACTAACATTGACGCAGTACCATAACAATAAAATCATCCCAGAAAGGAGAATTCAAATTACATGCTAGCGATCTATTGCGGCTCGATCTTGACTTCGTGCAGACTCATGGGTGTTGGAACCTGAACTCCCTCTCTCTGTCGTAGTATCTGTAATGAATCCTGATCTACCTTAACCACTATGTTTGTGTTGTGAAGATTTTGAAGAAGGCTTATATAAATTTGTTTTAGGTGTTTTGAGCCCTGAAATGATTCAAAATTTGCTTCTGCTTAATGTACGTGGAAAACATTTTCAAGATCATCTTCCATCACTAAAACCTTTATGAAAGAACATTAGGTAATACTTTGGAAAACGAGGGGTATTTGTTACAAAATGGATTTTCTAATTTTAAGGGTCATTAGTCTAAAAGATGGTCATTTTTGGTATATTATATCGACCTGGTTGGAATTTTGATGGAGCAATTGCAAAGATTGAAAGATTATTGTCTTGATTATAAAGATAAGCACTTAAATGATCATCAATTTTGTGATCTATTTTTTTTCGAGGATTGAAATAATAAAAATTAGATTGGAGAGATGATAAATATGTGCTAAGTTTCCAAAAAGGAGTTGATATTAGGATATTCTTTCTTCATTCAATTATGATTTGGAAAGAGAGAAAAGAAGTGTGGAATAAAAAGGCCATCGGTGTTATTTTATTCCCAAAAAAAACTTAATGAAACTTGTAAATATTATTTTATTCCCAAAAAGTAAATGTTATAATTTTATTAGACTCCAAATATTTTATAATCAATACAAAAAATTATAGTGGTTATTTTATTGATTAAATTTACTTTGTATAAATTCCTTTAGTTTTTCTAAACGATGAGAAATTTCTACGTGAAATCAATATTCTTTTAATATCAAAAAAAATATTATTTCATTTATTTATTTTAATTTTTTGAAAGTTGTGAGTTTTTTTATTTATTTAAAGTTTAAGGTTGCATTATTTATTGTAATTATGGATTTATATTAAAATTTGTTATACTATAAATGGATCAAGATATTTTCATATAAGTTCCGGCTAAAAGGGTAAATACTTCTTATTAGATGAATCAATTTAAATTAAAAACGATAAGTATTCTCATAATATATATCTAATATGAATTACTTATTTATTATTTATAGAACAAGTCAATATATTTTAGATGTGGTTCCTTACTAATTTTTTTTTCTCCTTTTAATAAAATTGGTTAGCATTGTTAAGTAACTATCAAATTATAATTTTAACCATATTAAAATATGATTTGTTGTTATAACATGTTTACGAATGAAACTAATTGCCGAAAGAAGCTATTTACCGCCGCCGCATTGCGCGGGTAAACGACTAGTATATATATATATATATATATATATATATATATATATATATATATATTTACTATTATATTTATAAAGCATTTATCTTCAATGTCAAACACAAATTTTTATGCATGTTGTACAATAAATTTAAGCACATCTTAAAAAAATGTCTCAAAAGACAAATTATACAGCTTGATGTACAAATTTCTGATGCATGGTCAAATAAGTATTCCCTGTTCAGCGATCCTTCCACTTTATCACACTCTTTTAATTGAAAGTTCACACGGATCATGATCCCAACTTTCTAATCCAATGGTTGAAAACTGATTAAAAAACACACAATCAATCAAATGGACAAAATTACCCAACAAAGAAACACAAATCTCAACCTATATTATCAGATTAACATGTGGTCTTCATTGGCTCTGTCTTTCTGATCGAGCCAAACTCCCCCACCCACCGGCCCAACCAGTAGCCTGCACCATGTGCTGCCGACACCACCATTTAACACCACCAACACCATCATTGGTCACCATCCAACACCATCTCAAACTAATCCATCGCCAGTCAACTACCGGACTCCGCAAATCTTAGATCTTTTGTTTTCGTTTGATATCAGAACCTTCTTTGTGTTCGTTATTTTCTTAGAGGTGGTTTGTTTGATTTTATGCACAAACATAGCATATAACCTTTATGTTCACATACATACGGTGTATGTTCTTGGTTTAGGTTTCAACAAAATTTTCTGTCTCATATATGTGGTTTTCTTCTTACTTTTTTTTTAATATCGAGGAAGTACAAATAGAACAGTGAGAGCAGAAAAGTTTACCTGATTTCTCCTTGGTTTGGTTGCAGGTTTGATGGAGAATAAGAAAAAGTTGGATAGACATGAAGATCAGAGGATAAAATTTCTTTCATATTTATTATTTGATAATTTTTCTTTTTAGTGGTTCTAAAACTTTATGTTGAGAAAAGAACAACCAAAATTGAGAAAACAACTTAGATTTCTTTAAACATCAAGTGTAGTTAATATTGGAGATATTGAGAAGAATATCATATGCGAAAAAAACCAAAATATATTCTATCATTTGTTGTTTTACTTTTTACCAGATTTGATTATAGCATTGGGTTTGTGTATATATTTATATATTCGCTTGGGTGGGAACGAGGTTGTTCAAATAAAAATGAGATAAAAAAAATTAAGTTGTATTTTTAAGTACTTTTGATTGTCATTAAATTTATTTTAAACATGTCATTTGGTACAGGTGAGGCCGTGCCGTAAAAAAACAGATGAATTTTGTTAACAAGTTTGGTATTTATTATTATTATTGTCATTTCAATTATTGTATCCGCTTGAATGTATTTTGGAAATGGATATGTTACATTTATGAACTCTTTGTATGTTTTTATGTATATAAATATAGTTGTAATAACTTTTATTATTATTTATTAGTATAATCACAATAGAATAAATAAGTAAAAGAAAAAAAAATGATGAAGATAACAATCAAAGAACAGATTACAGCATTGACCTTTTTTTGGTGAGATAGAGCTACATGTGTTGTTAACATATCTATCAACCAAAACACATTGTTTTTTTCCGGTTTCATGATCACCTCGGTTCTCAACATCCTTTTTAAAAATTTGATAAAAGTGCAAATGGTGATAAAAGTGCAAATGGGTAATGTTCAACAAAGAAATAAGGGAAAATGACAAAAAAAACCTTAAGTTTTCATAAAAATGTCGGTTTTACCCTTGGACGTGTTTTATGTCTAGTAAAGCTCGAAGTTTTGTTTAATTTGTTCATTTTTACCCTTGTAGCCGGTTTCCAGGTAACCTACCGGTTACCTAGGTTACCTAATGCCAGTAAAGCCCTTGAATTTTCAAAAATGTTCGGATTTACCCTTAAGTTTTTCAAAAATGTTCGAATTTACCCTTACATTGATTGTTATTATTATTATTATTATTATTATTATTATTATTACATTTTTAATTGTATAAAAATACTTTATACATACATTTTTAAATGTATAAAAATATTTCATACGTTTTTAATACATTTTTATACATATTATTATCATTATTATTATTCTTATTATTATTTATTATTATTATTACATTTTTAAATGTATAAAAATCATTTATACACACACTTTTTAAATGTATTAAAAATATTTTTACTAATATAAATATATTTTAAAAATATATATACTTGTATTTAATATTTATATATACATTTGAAAAGCCCGTGTATCCTATAGAAATGTATTTATATATTAAAAATGTATTTATTTGTATTTAGTAAGTTAATATATATATATATATATATATACTCTACTATATATAATATATATATTTCATATAAAAAATCTATTATATACCATAAATATAAAAAACTATGATTTATATGGTTTATATTATATAAAAGATATAATTATATGTATTTGTAATATTTACCAGTATAAATATATATTTATTATCAAAATCATACTCAAAATAGATAAGCAAAAATAAATAATCATTAATAAAAACATAACGTCCCAATGATAAAAACCCTCGTAATTAGAAAACGTCAATAAAACACTCGATTAAGATAAGATTACTATAAAATTTGAAACAAACCTCTCTTATTCAACTATATTAGGTTATAGTTAGTAGATAACAATAAATGATCAACAAATAACACTCGTAAATGGAAAATATACAGAATATAATTCAAAAAAACCTCGACAAAAACACTTGATCACTGTAAAAATTAAGTATTATCAACTTAAAATCATTTATTAACTGTTTTTATCTCAAAAATTGATAACGAAATGTCAAATACGAGTGTAAACTTCATTTATGATTGTTGTAAGTTCACAAAAAAGATCACGAAATGCATCAATTTTTATATTGATCTGAAGCATTTGTTTTTGCAAAATCAGTCATTGACGACATTTTTTACTTTATCAAGCTTTTTCTGTTCGATTCAACAATTATAGATGAAGATTTAGGGTTTTCAAATGTATATAAATACTAAATACAAGTACATATATTTTTAAAAATATATTTATATTAGTAAAATTATTTTTATACATTTAAAAATGTGTGTATAAAATATTTTTATACATTTAAAAATGTATTAAAATGTATAAAATATTTTTATACATTTAAAAATGTATGTATAAAATATTTTTATTCAATTAAAAATGTAATAATAATAATAATAATAATAATAATAATAATAATAATAATAATAACAACAACAATCAATGTAAGGGTAAATCCGAACATTTTTGAAAAACTTAAGGGTAAATCCAAACATTTTTGAAAATTCAAGGGCTTTAATGGCATTAGGTAACCGGTAGGTTACCTGGAAACCGGCTACAAGGGTAAAAATGAACAAATTAAACAAAACTTCGGGCTTTACTGGACATAAAACACGTCCAAGGGTAAAACCGACATTTTTGTGAAAACTGAAGGGCTTTTATGTCATTTTCCCAAGAAATAAAGAACACAAGGTAGCATAGTACCTACAAAATTAGTTAATAAATTGGGCAAAAAATAAAACAAAAATCTGAAAATCAAAACAAGGTCATAAAAAAAGATGAGAACTAAAATCTAAAAATGAGTTGGTCACCTTTTACCAGGGATGGCAAAAAAACCCGAACCCGACGGGGAAACCGGGTCGGGTCGCTCTTATCGGGTATCGGGCCGGGTATCGGGTCCTTATCGGGTATTTTTTTCGGGTTCGGGTCAGGGAGTGGGGAGTGCCTGTCCCGACCCGCCCCGCCCCGAAAAAATAAAAAATAAATATATATATATATATATATATATATATATATATATATATATATATATATATATATTACACTTCTGCCCCTGATGGAAGACTAACCCTAACACATTCAGTCATTCTCTCGCATTACGCTTCGTTCCAGGCTTCCAGCAGCCGACTCATTCTTTCAAATCGACAAAATCAAAAAATTTCAGCTATGGTCCGATGAACAAGAAGTCGACTAATCGAGTACACCATCGTCGACTTACTAATCGATTACACCATCGTCGACTTACTAATCGATTACACCATCGTGGCATCGTCGATCAATAGAAGCGATTGCAACTAGCCGACCATCGACCATCGTCCAGCAACAGCGTCCTGAAGCTTTTTCCGTTTCATCGAAGCCCGCCTCGTCCAGCAACCATCACCATTCAACCCTCGCAGGCTCGCATCCTCTCTCTGTCGTCGCCTCGTTGACGACAATCCAGGTAAGAATAATGAGCATCTCGAATCCAGTGACCAGTTACGTCTTTATGATGAATTGATTTTGATTTCAAATATGATTGATGAATTGGTTTTGGATAATGCTGATTTGTACCGATGAATCTGTTTTGTGATATTCAAATGCATATATTAGTTGCTTTCTTTTTAAATGAAATTATTTGTTGTCTGATGAATCTGTTTTGTAATATTCAAATGTATATATTAGTTGATTTCTTTTCAAATGAACTTATTTGTTGTCTGATTTTCAAATGAACTTATTTGTTGTCTATTTTTTGTCTTTCTTTTCAAATGAACTTATTTGTTGTCTATTTGTTGTCTGTTGAGTCTGATATGACATTGGTTTGAGTTGAACAATTGGTTTCTGATTTGTAATATGTTTCTGTTTAGACTTATCTATTTGAATCTGATTTGAGTGAATTTCTGAATTCTAATCTATTTAGACATATTTGTTGAGTATGATATTACATTGGTTTTTATTTTTCAGGAAATATGAATTCAAACAGTCAAAATCATGCTCCAGCTGCAAGTAGTCAAGATGTGGGAGGAAAACACTAATGAAAGCGGGACAACAAGTTTGGATGATTTTGTTTGATTTTAAGTTTGTTTTAATGTTAAGTGGTAATGTATTATTGTGATGAATTAATTTTTCATATTGTGTACTTGGATGTTTTGTTTTAATGTTAAATGGTATCTTAATTTATCATTCTGTACTTGTAGTTTTTTCTTATTTTTTCTGCCACATTTCGGGTTTTAGGGTCGGGTTTTCGGGCTGTTATCGGGTTTCGGGTTTCGGGCCGGGTTCGGGGAAAGTTTCAGCCCCGACGGGGCGCCCCGATAAGAAACCCGTCGGGTATCGGGTCGGGGTCGGGTACACCTTTAGAAATCGGGTTCGGGTTTGGGAAAGCCTGCCCCGCCCCGAACCCGCCCCGTTGCCATTCCTACCTTTTACTATAGGGAAAATGACTTATGAAGGTAACTAACTATTTCGATTGTCCACATATAGGTAATGTTCTTTATTTTGTTCTCATTAATGAAACCAACTTGTTATTTATGTTCATATTTAGGTAATATGACCGGCTATTACCTGTTTTTGCTTATGTGGCAGCCATCTGGCACGTGACTTGAATATGTTGCACCTATGTGGCATTGTGCATATATTCTCTTCGTTTACAGTATAAGAAGTCGTTCAATTACACCCCTGATTTTGAACCCTAGATCGACGATGGCTTCTTCTTCCTCATCTTATTCTTCAAAACGACAAGATGAATTTCAAGCTGATCATCCATGTGATTGCAACTTACCATCTCGTGTGAAGACTTCAAGAACCCCTGACAACCCTGGAAGAAAATTTAGAGTTTGTCTAAACTCGATGGTAATCAGTATTGTTGCATACGTTGCAACTTTCTTCTTCTTCATCTTGTTGAATACCCTTTCTTCTTCTTCATCCTTTAATTTAACATTTTTTTTAATTTTTCTTCAAGAATGGAAAAAATCCAAGCTGTAAATTCTGGCAATGGCTGGATGAGGATGAAGGGAGGACAGATGGAAGAAAGCCTTACTGGAGGAAGAAGAAAGCTGTAATTTAATCTTGAAAATTTGCACTTTGGAGATTGAAATCAGCATATGTAGGATGAAGATCGAACAAGAAAACAACATCAATTTGGTTAATAGACAGGAATTGGACAAAGTCAAGTGGAAGTTGTTTACTCACAAATTGGCATTGATTTTGTTATTTGTATTGTATGTGAAAATGTTGATTTGATTGTAGTTCATGATGTATTAGGGTTGAATGATGTAGTTCATGATTGAAACTTGATTGGTAATGAATGGATGTAGTCCACCTGTTATTGTGTATGCTTATGTATGTAATGAATGGATGGAACTTTTGTTACATGTTTTTGCTTCTGTTGTTTTTGTTACATGTTTAGAATGAAAAATAATTAAACACTGGAATGGTATACATTGAAACATTGGGATGTAATATAATCTAACATGGGAATGTAACATTGTTTCCCAGGAAACATTGTTTACAAAACATTGGAATTTAACACAGTTACACATGCATTACTGCCAAAAGGTACACACAAGATTCCAAAAGTAACACATATGACTAGACACAAGTCCAAAAGTTACACATATTACTAGACAAAAGATTCCCAGTCAAAGATGCCAAAAAATAACCATATGTCAAATTCTATTCCAATTCCATTGGATTTTCACCACTACTACCCTGTTTCCCCTCCCACTTCTTTCTTATTTGAATTTTTGTGATTCTTTCTGAAGGTTTCCTTCTTCTCTTTCCCTGTAGAATTTGAAATGCTGGTACTTCCATCATATGCTCCTCTTCCACTGGATCTTGAACTGCAGCCTGTCCTTGGTCATCTTGTCCAATTGGATCTTCAACTTCAACTTCAAGTTCTTCACCTTCTTGACCATCACCCTGTCCTTCAGCTTCAACTTCTACTTGATCTACAACTACAGCCTGGTATTGACCTTCTTCAACTTCAACTTCAACAAGTGCTTCAACCTGTTCTTCAACCCCTCCAACTTCAACCTATTCTTCAGTTTCAACATCAGGTTGGTCTACATCTTCATATGTATGATTACCCTCTTCAAAATCAACTTCATAAGACTCGACCTCACTGTCAGGCTCCCTTTGAACTTCACTGTCACTATCACTTTCCACATCAACTTCTTGATTCAATTCAACCTTCACTTTACCTGTTATGAAATAATTCAAATGTTAGAATTAGAAGCTGTTATATTATAATCAAAAGGTAACGGAGGAGAAATACCTTTTTTGTTGGTTTTTTTATTTTTTGACTTTGGATTTGGATTAGATGATTCCCCAATTGGTTTTTGAGGACATTTTGCTTTATTATGCCCTGATTCTCTGCATATGCTGCATCTCATAACAATTCCCCTTTTTTGAGAATATATGCTTATTTCCCTTTAGTTCACTCTCAATCTGATCCCTTTTCCTTTTTGTTGATGGTCTTCCTGGAATCCTTCTCTTTTTGGGAGGCAATGGCTTGATGTAATCCACATCATGCCACATATCACTACCATTTAGTGGCTTAATGGTGTACATGTAGGCATTACAAAACATTGTTGTGGTCAACCATGGTGATACATAGTCCTCTGGATCCCTATTGAGGTTTGAAATTGCAGCATATGCATGTACACAAGGGTAACCAGTTAATTGCCAGCCTCTACATCCACATGTTTTCTTACCAAGGTCTACATCATATGCATCTTGTAAAAGTCTCACTTCAAATTGTTGATAACCATATGGTACAACTCTCTAAAATCTGTCCACACACACTTAAATGTAAGTCTCCCCAAGAACTTCCCTTACTTTTTTGTCTACAAAGTCTCTCCATCACATAAATTCTAATTTCATCTAACATAGTGATTAGAGGTCTCTTCCTGGCAGCTCCAATGATTGAGTTAAAACTCTCAGAAACACCATTCTCATATGTATCACATGCCCTATCAGTCTGAAAGAATGCTTTACTCCAAGTTTTAGGGCCCCTCTCCATTAGATGATCATAGGCAAGTTGTTCTATCTTCTTGATTTCATTCATATGCTGCTCAAATTTAGCCTGGGTAGTAGAAGCAGCAGCATACTAGAAAAGTGTACTGAATTGTTGACCCTTGAATTTTTTCATGAAGTTAGCACATATGTGTCTGGCACATTGTCTATGCTCTGCTGCAGGTACCCTTTCCTTGACAGCCTCAAGTAATCCCTGTAAGCATTACAAACAAAACATAAACTTCATATAAATTAAGTATTAAATAAAGAGAGCATATAAAATCATTACTTTGTGTTGGTCTGATATTAATGTCAACCTATGTCCATTTCCCATTCCAATGTCATCAAGGAGAAGGTCAACAAACCACTTCCATGTTTCCTTACTCTCAACTGCAACCACAGCCCAAGCAAGAGGGTAGATATGGTTGTTGGCATCTCTACCTACAGCAGCAAGCAACTGACCTTTGCAAACACCTTTTAAGAAGCAGCCATCTAGTCCAATTACCCTTCTACAACCTTTAATCCATCCATCCTTCACACCCTTTAAACATACATAGAACTTTGAGAAGTAAGTGGCTCCATCAGGCATGACATCTACATCCATCTTCACTGTTGATCCAGGGTTAGTCCTTCTTAGCTCTTCTCCATAGCTCCAAGTTTTAGCATAGTGTTCCTTTAAAGTACCCCCTATCTCCTTAAATGCATACCTCCTTGCATTTCTGCATTGTCCTACACTTGCAATCAAATTAAATGTCTTGCTAACTTTAGCCTTCAATTTCCTCACACTCATCTTTGGTTTCTGGAGTATCTCATTCATGAAATGATTCCCTATCCATTTATAGGTAACAATGGACCCAAATTTGAAGACTCTTGAGCAATTATGGTTATCAATTAAAGATTTAATCTGGAATGACCTTTCATTGCTCATCCAGGTTGCCCACAACCTAAAGGGACAACCTTTATTCTTTTTGTTCCTCTTACCTTTACAACACTTCACCAGTAACCTGTTATGATCACTTTTTTCATACCACAAATCATACCCATTCTTCACTGCATAATTGGTTAGACATAGCTTCAATTGCATTGGGTTTGCAAACCTCATACCTAGAATTGGCACCATCTTATCCCATTCTTGATTCTCATCATGGACAGGGAATACAACCTTATCATCTTTTCCATCATTAGGTTGATCATCATCACTAAGCTTACCTGAAAGTTTGTTTAAAAAATCATCACCAACAGTTTTGTTAAAGGTATGGACTTCTTCATCAACTTCATGCTCATATGCCATAATATCATCCAAATTATCATCTTCATCACTGTCATCCTCTTCTTCCTTGTGATCTTCTTCTTCATTGTCATCCTCTTCTTCGTTGTCATCCAAGTCATACCAATTACCATCTGATAACACCTCATTTTCAGCCCGATCAAGGATTGGATCATTTTGGTAGTCAATGTAGACATCCAACTCAGCTTCAGGAGTATAAGTAGCTTCAACAAACTCCCAATAATCAGCATCACTGTCGATTCTTATAATACCCTCACCCAAGGTTTCCTTTCTACTACAGTAGTACACATTATCACAACTTCCATTGGTTAAATTCCTAAGCCACAAAAGAAACTCTTTGTACGTAAATCCTCCAAAATCGACATCACGCACTGTTATCTTTTCGAGGTCTAAGTATTTCAATGGATTTCGGGCAAATACTCCACTGTAATGAACATCTACAGTTAAATACTTACCTGTAGATAATTGAGACACCATCTTACAGTCGACTTCAACACGTATGGTGAATCGAATCTAAAATCGGATTTCGGGCAAACTCTAATCTTCAATTTGGTGAATCGGGCAAACTCTAATCTTCAATTTGGTGAATCGAATCTAAAATCGGGAGGTGATTATGGTGAAATTGAATGTATCGAACCCTAATTAAATGAGAAAAGGGAGTAATGGCCACGTAAGAATCCACGTAATTAGCTTTAACCGAGTAAAATTGATGCAACCGGTTAAAACGGGCAAAAACAGGTAATAGCCGGTCATATTACCTAAATATGAACATAAATAACAAGTTGGTTTCATTAATAAGAACAAAAAAAAGAAGATTACCTATATGTGGACAATTGAAATAGTTAGTTACCTTCATAAGTCATTTTCCCTTTACTATAAGATTGTAATTTGTATTCAAAACATTTACATAATATATAAACATTCCTCATTTCGTTTGTGATTTCACATAAACTTCTATTTTATAATCAAAATAATATTGTAATATAATATCTAAACATACTTATTTCATATTTAAATATTCTTTAATTTTTACAACAGGGAGAAAATACTAACAATAAAAAGCTATTAAACGTTATAATAATAATTAGCCGTTTGCTATATTTTGTACCAACATAAAAAAAATATGAACAATTAACACAATTTTTTTTTTGATTAATTTTATTTATAATATTGCCATGAAGCACCGGTGAGCTCCAAAATTCAAATGGATATTGATAGATGTTACGAGAAACGATTATCAACAAATGTCAACAACCTTCTGCCGAATAGTTTGTCAACCATTTATTTTTTTAACAGGAAAAATACAAAAAAAAAATCAATTAATATTATTTCAAAATATACCTTAGAAAACGAATTCAATGTCACAAACTAAGTTTTTCTATTTTTTTACAAACAAGGCCATTGTAATTTTAGACTTGCAAGAATAGTCGTTTTTGCTTATACGGTTAGTTTCGCCCGTTAAGCCTTATCACGTGACTAACATGTAACGGCAATTTATTATTTTTAGGTATAGTTGGGACAGATTTGTGTTCATGGGTAAACCATGGGGTCTATTTTTATAATTTTGTTTATATTTTATGTTTATGAGTTTTTAATTTTTTCATCTTTTAACTTTTTAAAATGTCAATTTGACCCATCCACCCTTGAACTTTATAAAATGTTAATTTTACCATTACATTTGACTTTTGCATTTTTTTTACTTTTTAAAATCTCAATTTATCTATAGTCACAAATTTGGTCTTTTGCTAAACATGGAAATATCAAATTACGCTCACAAGTTATGCACGTGATAGGGCTTAACAGACGAAAACTAATGTTGTAAAAATGACCATTCATACAAGTTTTGAAAACCATAAGGATTATGTTTGTAATTTTTTAGCAATGACTAAGTTTGTGATAATTGGTAAACCAGATTGACCATTTATGTAATTTTCTAAAAACCATATTTCGAAACGAAACTATTGCCGCCCGCTGCATTGCGCGGGTACCCTACTAGTTTATATATATATATATATATATATATATATTAATTATTCAAGTTATAAATTTATAAAACTGAATTTATCGCAACCGGACTAACACAGACACTAGGCAGTGAACCTAATTGTGTAATAGTATAGTTGTGGTAATAACAGGTGTCGAACACAAGGGGAAGGGTGATGAATTAATTTAAAATGTTTGATTATAGGTTACGCAAAACACATAAGTAATAAGAAGAGTTTTATTAAATAGTTTCAATACCACTTAACATCAAATATCGATAAACTGATTGGAAGACAAATTTCTTTAGGTACTTTGGTCTACATAAATTACATCACAAATTAATGGCTAACTACCGATACAATGGATATTTATTCATTATTCACCAATTCCTAATATGACTAGTGTCATGGTCACGACTACTAATCCTTTCATTTCAACACAACTATTAATTCATTGATCAGCTGAACAAACAGTCATGCAAATCAGTATTTAGTTCATATTAAGCAAGATTTGATCTTATTTAATCCTAATGGTAATAAGAGTTAAATCATGTAGAGAATGGTCATTCTACTCATGCAAACACATTAAAGTTCATTACTTTACTTCCTAACCCTAGGTTTTGGTCAAAACTCCAGTCATAATCACCAATGGTCACTAGACAACTATGATTCAAATTAACACAACTAGATGGTCATCTAAACTCTTATTAATTCATCAATAGAGAAAAAAGTAACAATCTTTAACACATATGGATCTTCAATCAAACTTGACAAAGTAAATTAAACACGAATAAATAATCCAAATAACAATTAATCCACAAATTCAAGGATTCATCTAATCATAAAGACAAAGCAAAAGGGTTTTAATCCTTAAATCAGAAAGTAAATGCATATAGAATCATATTGAAACGCTAATCTTGGTTGGAACAACGAACTACATGATTATCAGCATGAATCTGCTCTCCAATCCTTCAGATCTTCGCTCCTATCAGCTTAACGGCCTTCTGGCCGCCTTCTAGACCCTCAAAACGGCTTCTTGGGGGTTTATAATCGTAGGATTCGATCTAGGGTTTAAGATATATCATTAGGGCTAATTTTTTGCTATAATTATAGGTTTCAGCATCAACACAGCGTGTTTGATAGCCAACACGCCGTGTTCTTCATTAAAATCTTGTATTCTACAAGTTAGCTCATATGATCGTGAAGCTTCTATTAACCACAGCGTGTTGGTGATAACCACAGCGTGTTCGTTGGGAATCAAAATTTTCCCAAAACAAGAAAGTCGTCTCAAATTCTTTCTATTTTTCAAAATACTTTGAATCTCATAAATCGGAGTTACGAGTCATGAGATATGGCCAAAACACCGACGAGGGGTCAAGTTGTCCAGCAAAATCCTTCTTTGTCTTCTTTTTGCTTTATCTCCCGTTTTCCTGCTTCCAGCTCCTCGATGCTTCCTTTTTGTCCCGAGCATGTCTTCGTTGAAAAACATATTTCAAACATAATAAGTACCTTTTGTTCTAGAATTAATACATAATGTAACATAAAATATAAAGATGTATGAAATATATAACTAAATAAACACACATCAAAATACACAACACTTGACTTTTGCTTGGCCCCAAGCAAAACTGAATTTTAACATACCAATACCGCACAAAACAATCCAAATTGAACCCAACCATTATGCCAAGACCGCAATGCATGTATTTGTGTTTAAATTTTCCAAAGAACCTCCATAATCCTAAATACTCACAATCTTCATAAACACTTGCCCACTTCTTTCGAACAACGCTCATTTTATGCATCCATTCGAATCCATCCCTAGAGATCTTTCTTAACCTCAAGTTATATTTGTTTAAACCCTCAAGCATACACATGGAAAAATAACCTAGAAAATAAAATTACAAATAAATAATAATAACTTAACAACTTTTGCCTTTGAATCTTTGATAATTTGCAGCTCTTCTTCATGATATTTCTTCGTCTTCATAGCTTTGTAGATTCTTTCAAACTTTGTAACTTTTTTTTCTTTTCAACTTTTTTTGACAACACACTTTTTTCACTCAAAACTAAATAATCCTACAAAAACATATGCTTAAGCAAGGGGATTTAACTTCAACCTTTATTGGTTAGAGATATTAGTCTAATTTGCAATGACTACATAAGCTCTCCTGGATATATTTCTGGTATACGATGCTAAACATATTGCGGCCCTCAAACTAAGCAGGGTTGTGTTTTTATTCCATTATTTCACTAAGATAAGGAGGCCACAAATACATTATAACATATGTTGGCTCAACTAAACATTTAGGTTCGCATTGAATCATCCCACAAAATAATAGCATTGAATCCTAATAATATGCAATTTGCTTTTAAATTTACCTTAATTTTCTCAATTAACCTAGCAATTTTTTTTCATGATGATGCAATTTTTCAAAAAAAGTCATACTTGGATTCTAATAATTTAACCAACCCCCTACCCCACACTTAATTCATGCAATGTCCCCATTGCATGTTATGCAAAATAAATAACAAAAAGTAAAAAGGGAGAAAAAGGAACAGGCTCCCATGGGATAGAAGTGGCGAGGTTGATCTTTCTTCTTTTTGTCCTCTCCAGCTGACTATGGCGTGGGAACAGCTCATCTACGCCTTTGTTGATCATTCGTCTCGTGTTGTGGAAATCTCGAAACAAAACTGGAACCAATACTTTTACACTCTTTTCTTGTGAATACAAATATGCCGAACCGAAATAAATCAAAGAACCATTCTTTGAAAAATGTGTTGGACCTCAAACACGTCGTAGGAAAGCAACGCCACGACGTGATGTAGAGCTTGAAGTCGTAATGGTCACGAAATTTAAAATTGCCACGACGTGGTCAAGTGTAGGGATGTGCTTCGGGCCGGAACCGACCCGAATAACCCGAAACCCGAATTGGATGAAAAGTGAGAACCGAAACCCAGACCGATTATACTAATACGGGACCGGTTCGGTTTGGGTAATACGGGTTTTGGTTCGGTTATTAATCCGAAAGGACCGAAATAACCCAAATAAACATTTACACTATGTTTTCGAACCAAATAACCTAAATAAACCGAAATGACCTGAATAACCCAAATAAACCGAAATGGCCCGAATAACCCAAATAAGGAAATTCAATATCTAGTTCAAGAATAAAAAAATATTAATTTAATATTATTTTTTCTCGAACTAAATATAAAATTTCCTTATTTGGGTTATTCGTACCATTTCGGTTTATTTGGGTTATTTGGGTCATTTCAGTTTATTTGGGTTATTCGGTTCAAGACTATTCACTTTCCGGGTCGGTGTTTTTGGCCCGATTAAACCTTTATTCGGGTAACCCGGACCGAATAACCCGAAACCCGAATTGGAAAAAAATAGATACCCGAGAACCGACCCAAATAACTTATTCGGTCCTAATTCGGGTCGGTTCGGTTCGGGTATTCGGTCCAAACGCACATCCCTAGTCAAGTGGT